AAATAGGTGTATCATAGTTTGAAAACCAGGCTTTCTTCGTTTAAGTTGACATAAAAATTTTGTGGTGTGAGTATAAACAAACACTTGTGGTAATACAATTATCAATAGATTCTCCCTGCAGCGGTAATTAGGCGCCCATGTGGACCTATAAACACATCCTTAACACGTCATCTAAAAGTCTGTTTGACAAGTAGGCTTTTCTCACGTAAAAACACGTACAACGTACACCAATTACGGAAATGACAACAGTGACCAAAAACATTCAAATCTAGAATAAACTTGTTTCAAAAACTTTGATTTCTTGGGCCGGACGTATGGAGGATGGATACTTAGCTAATTCACAATATTTTTTCTCGTCTTTCCTAATCATTAATTTTTATGTCAAAGACTGTAATTTATTTATTTAGTTCAAAATAAAACAGATTAGTTCTGAACACTCTACACAATAATTATGGATTTTATCTGCTATATATAGAGGATATTACATGGGCGCGCKGATATACGGATTTTATCTTGGAGTAAAAAGATCTCTCACGAGTGAGCGTAGCGAATTATGTCGTAAAATACCTTTTTTTCTTACTTCCACTATATAGAGAAACCTCGAATGTGTGTTATTTTTACTAGTCAAGCCAGTCAAAATAATAACTTTACGTAATRGAGAAATATAGGTATTTATAGATTATGATAAGAAGCTTTGTCCCATGGACAAATTCACCGTTCGTACAACCGACCCTTCAGGGAATATAAGCCCGAGGCTTGGATCGTATCCATTCGCTTACACCCACAACCGTAACTTCTTCATAAAGTGTGGACAACTCCGGAATCAAAGATTCTTTTTTCGAAATGCTCGGTGCTCGATTTGCTTGTCTTCTTGTTTTCTGTCATGAATTAACGCAAATATTGACATGGGGACGATCTAATTTCTCGACTAATAATCCTTGTTTGCATATTGTCAGTCAAATAAGCTAAATTAGTTTCGTTAAAGATGGTTAAAGTGTAATATTTTAACACATGACTGATGTACAAATTATCAAAACTATGTAGAGCTATCAATGTGTCCGTGAAGCGCTTTATCATAACAGTTCACTGGTGTTCCTTTTCCCCCTTTTCTTAATTTGAGTGAAAGAGGTACATTTTTTGTCCTGCATGGCGGTGTACATTTTTTTTTTTGAACAAGCACGAATCAGTGCCCCGATTTAAGAAGATTTTGGTCACATCCTTTCAACACAGTATATAAAGTTTAGGGGAACTTTAACATTACGCGATTTCTGTTTCCGCATCCCTCCGACTGCATATCTAGTGTTTCTATTGTCCTTGAACACTCCAATAATGACGCGGCCCTGACAAATAGCGAGTCACTGACAAATAATGACGCGTCCCGAGTCCCTGGCATGAGTTGAAAAGAATTAAAATTCTAATATATGTTTGTTGATAAATTAAAATAAAATGAATGTGTAAATTAGTTTAAAAGTTGTTTTTTATGATGATAAGCAATATTCATCAAACTCGCTGAACGTACGGGCTCGTCTTTTAGCAAGAAAACTGATAAGAAAACTTACAAAAGCAGTAACAGTACTCCTAAGAATGACAGTATTCCTAGCCATTACTAATACTGCCTTATAATCAGTTATAAAGACCGGTTTACGAGTGCAATTATAAGTGTCATGCTATCCTGACCGTTAACGGCTCTGCATTGGTCGTACATTTGTARCAATATAGTTTTSTCACATTKCTATTATTATGTTAGCAAGAGTGATAAAAATAGATCTGATCCTTTTTTCCTTTGTCCATTTTCCCTCACTTCAGTTTTACTTCTTTATTTCTTAAATTTCCCTTTTCGTCTGGCTAACTTCCTTCTTTTGCCATTCTATCTCCGTTTTAAGCATCCCCTTTTATTCTTTTTTTCTTTCTTCTCTCCTCATTTCATTTCTATATTTCATTCAGCCATATTAATATCACAAAGTTGTACGATATCATGGCAGTACTGTAGCCTGTCTTTTACAAGCGTTTTTCGTGCAAGGCTAATAAGAATTTAATTAACGTAAGCAGTATTTTTCCCTCAATTCTTATTTTTCGTGATTGGATCCTTCAAATGGCGCAATAATTATATCATGGCCATCAAAACCCTTGATAATAAAGCCATTAACGATAGTGCGCACTTCGCATGCTATGGTCTTTAATCTTTGATTAAGTTGGTGTCACCCCTTTTGTGGCTGAACTTCGTTTCACGAACTCTGCATGTATTTTTAATGTTTCTCCAAAAACGATAGCTCTTAATAGAAGCGTTAACAAAGATAACAGTTGATAGAGCATTTTCGTGCTGACAGGAAGTGTAAATGCTCAATTAGTATCAGCTTTACAAAGTGTTCCCGTGTGGACAGACACAAGTTACCAGGACAGCAACGTGCGCGGTCCCAACTATGCATCATAGCTTTTGTCTTTGATGTTTGGAAAATTCTTAACAGGGCTTTAGATATTTGTTGCTTGATCACTTATGTGACGGAAAAACAAGTTAGAATTTTTTCGTCCAATCAAGAATGGAAAACTGTTCAAATTGCTCCAAAAGCGTTTTAAGCGCCGTTCAGAGCTGTAGAGTCATCGCTACAATTAGGTTCCAAAAGCTTTCATATTTCTAAATATCGATCTGTTTTTACATTTTTCATAAAAGAACAAACAAGAGGAGACAATGGGACTAAATTGAAAAACACAGCTAATTAATTCACGAATTGTAAGCGAAAAATTGCTTTTTCAAACCTGTTTAACAGTTACGCGGCTGTTAGCTCTTTTTGATCATTACATGCTTCAAACGTTCTATTTCTCAGTTCTTTTCTGGTTGAAAATTTCAGAAATGATTTTGATTTATATATCTTAAAATATACACAACCATGTGGCTTAGATAATGCTAATTACCTTAGCCTTAGGGGTTGCATTGGGCATAAAATATCGCAATATTCTTAACTATAAACACAGTTTGTCCTTTTCGACTATCCATGCTGTAAATAACTTCATTAAACAGTAGTTTTCAAGAATCCTTTCAAGTCAACAATATGTCGAAAGAGGTCGTAGAAGTTTACAATAAYTTTGCTTATGCGTTAGTGGTTTAGTATGGACAATAGCAAGTGGTTTATTGTAATTCTAATAAGAAGCCCTACAAAGGAACAGTCACTATCATCTATTGCTAATGCTTTAGGAACATTACCCAACTTGAAAAGACATGTTTTTCCTGCAGTCGATATGACATGCTGAGAGCGGAGTTTTACATTACTTAGATTGTCTAACAAAAAGGCAATTTMTCCCGCTGGTTCAGTCCACGTGGTCTTCGCTATTCAAATGCAGATCGATCTAGATGCTSAAAGTATCTTTTTTAAAATAGTCTTTGAACAGCTTTAAATATACAAAAGCGTGTTAAAATCTACAAATGAAAATAATGTAGTGAGAGAGTGATTTTAAGTAAACTTGTTTAGCATTATTCTTACCTTAGTTTTTTTAATAAGATCGACCAGAAATTTCTTTTTTTTTTCTTTTTTTTTTTTGAGTAGCGAGAAAAAGAAGTTGATATTCTTTTTAAGATAGATATTACGTCAGCAAAAGAACCAAAATTCTCAGTATTTTTCATTCTGGGAAAAAAATTGATGTTCTCTGTTATCCTTTATCGATAAAAAACACCAAAACACACAAAACTAATAAGTGATTTACTTTGATATTTTAATAATGTAATATAATGTCAGTCATTAGGACTCGCGGCGTCTCTCATCGATGAATTTGCGTGTGCAAAATGCATTGGTCACTTTGAAACTGAGACTAAAAAAAAAGTCCCTAAAATAAGGAATTCCTTTCAAAAAACTCTACAACTAAAATAGTTCACAATGCAGTAGATAGTACAGAAAGGAAGAAAAATATTTCACAATTATACTCTGACTGAACATCCATGCACCAAATTGAAAAAGAAGTTCAACTTTTTAAAAAGCTTCAAGACAGTCTGTTTTATCGCGAGAGTGTCGTATGCTAAGAAGTAGTTCACGGTCGCAAATACAACAAGTACATGACAGGGGTGATGTTTGCACAACTTAGCCCTTTCCAGTTGTCAGTTATTTTAAGGTATACGTCACTGTTCAAGCAACCAATGAGCGTGTAGTACGGGACTATCCCCTAYAGCAAGTGTTGTGTTAGCATAGTAGATAGAGCGCTGAGCCAGAGTAACACCAAGTCACCTGTTTGCCCGGTTTGATTTCAACTGACTAAGCGTTTCCGGTCCTAACAAGTCGATTTTTAGTGTCAAAATTGAAAATAACAGCTCTTTGCCAGTTTTAAAAGAAAAGTTATTGGCACGACTTTGATTGTTTTTTGCTTTCCTTCTCTATGTCTTCGCCATTGGCCGTTCAAGGCCGGGCAACGCACGCAGACGAACTGTCCGATCTACATATGTACTTTTACGAGAGACCGAAGAGAGTACGAGCTAGAAAGAGTTATCGTGAGTATATTTCTGATGAAGAAAACGAGGAGTTTGTTGTTACAAGAGAAGATGACGATGATGTCATGAAGAAGAAAAAACCAAAAGGTAGGTTTAAACAAGTTATCCTCAACATCTTATGAAATTGAAAATATTATCAAGAGTTAGTTTACAGTGAACGGAGAAATATTATTTTGAATTCAATAGTTGGAATCATTATGGTCTGTTGTGTTTTTAACTTTGATTTTACTCTATCGGGGGCACTTTCTTCGTGGGAATTAAAAACACAATTCAAATAGAATTAAAACATTTTTCTTTGCTTGAGAGTTAAATGAAAACTTTTGTAGTATAAAGATACTGAATTCTGTGGAGAATTACGAGATAAATTGAGATAGCAGCCGAGCTTTAAACATATATCGGTCGCTCGTTAAGAAACTTAAATCAAAAAGACAGCGGATAAGGTTAAACAAGACACTGCCACAACGGATTAACCTTGAACATATAAACCTCAAAAAGAACAATTTTGAAGTAATATTCTCTTGATTTTACACGTTTTTTAGTGATTTTAAACCAACAAAAGACCGTAATTAACAGTCTTTGTATCACACGAGTTTTAATAGCTCTCGTTCTGAAATAAAGAGACTAATTATTATTACCTTCTGTGACAAGAAAGAGGAGTTCCGGATGGCTTGAAAATACTCAAATGAGAGAGGMAGGAGTTTTCCTGCTAGTTTATTCTAAAGTGATTGTTTATCACAAGTTTGGTTTAAATTCTAAGAGGTTAACTTAAGAATGATATGAATAGAAATTGAAGAGATCAAAACAAGTCAAAATGATGGACGGACGGTGGATAATATATGAATATATTGGATAGCAAGATGAGCTGACAAAACCCAATGATACATGTAGAAAATCGGTACACAACATGTGCATATCATAGAAACGGAGCTGGAATATTGTACTTAAAACTGAATATATTTTTTTTATTTCTTTGAAATGAAATAACCAATGTGATGTACTAAAGAATTATATGATAAGTTAACTAGATAAGAAAGAATTATTAGATAAATATGCCTAAATGTATGAATATAAATGTTTACATGTATCATTCATATGTGTACGAAAACGCAGATTGAAATATTCTTGAAAAATGATCTTGAATGAAACGAAATAATAAATCAAAAAGAGATTTTTCAGAAATAGCATAATATAGTCAACAGGTTTTCGCTTTACTCAACTCKAGATTATAAAACAAGCTTATAAATTATTCTAAAAAAGATCGTGATCTTGCATCCATCTTTGTTCGATGTTAAAAGTGATAAAATGAATACTAAAAACYACCATCTGCGTGATACAACTCCAGTCTTGATGTAAAAACTCATTTCCACACGAAAATCGCTCATTTGACGGTAATCAAAAAGAAAACTTGGCCAATTTCGATTCAATTTAAAACACATTTCCACTCTCATTTGTTAGAACTTGATAATATYATCATCGTAGTTTGAAATTGTAATTACATGTATTTAGGTCTTCCTTAAATGATTAGAATAATCTGACAACTTGATAACCGACAATTTCAATCTTAAAAACCAATTTTCAAAGCTGAGGAAAAGAAGTTTTTCATCAAAAACATAATGTATCAGACCCGATAATGACACAGCTGTCTTGAGATATTATGCTGTGTTTTTAGAAATTCAAATTTGTACTTATACAAACATAATGAATTCCTCGTTTAAGTCTTACTAAAACTTCCGAGCTCCAAGAAAGTTATGGTCAGTACTCTGATCTTATCTACCGCAATACTATTGCAAGGGCGGTATTCTTTACAAGTCTCCGAATGACCGATAAAAGACCAACGTCTAAACAAAGCCATACACCGAAACACCTTATGTTAGTTAGGATATCATCCACAAACTTATTGTTCCTCTTTAAGAAAGGAATTATAAAATAATATTGCTATTCTTACAAAGTTAAAATACTAATACTGGGGAGAATTGATCGCTTTTTAAACAAGAATTACAATTAAAAAGGTTTGATCGAGATGGCTGTGATTTGGAGAACGGAAATAGACAATCGAATGAAGACTGTCTCTGATCAATATTCCCTTGCTTTGAAATATTGCAAACAGCTACAAATAACAGGATAATTAACGACTTTTCAATACTCAACTTTATGAGAAAAATCAATGTGATGGTCATTGAAATTGTTTAAAATTCTAGAGTTAGAAATTTCATTTTTCTTAATAAGACTATATGTAGAAAATGTAGAAAACAAATTGTTGTCGCACGACGTTCCTTGCACTAATTATTCCACAATTGTCAGTCAACTCAAAAAGCTGTTTGATCGTTATATTTTGTCATGATACAAGCTAGCCTGTGTGCTGTGCCTTTTACTGTTTAAATGACTGGTCGTGGCGTCAGACGTCTTTGAAATGGGATAATTGCCATGTGCTTTAGATACTTAATCTAAGCACACAAATTTTGCGCTATATTTTAACTCACTTTGAGATTAAAAACGCGGCTCAATTTAACCAGATGTGTGTGAAAATCYATTTAAATGCAGCGGAATATATGTTACAATTTAAAACCATTTAAATGCAAAGCGCAAGCTATTCAAATACTGTTCGAAATGTGAAATGCGATGAGAAAGCTATTAAAATGCCGTTCGAATAAAAGCCGTAGAAAACCAGAATGCATGGAAATGATAAAGAAGCGTAGATCTAGAGATAAAAAGCCATGCAAATGTTATCAGAAAGCCATTAAAATGCTGTTAAAAAATCGTGACAGAAAACCATTTAAAAGTCCCTGAYATCTTTCTATTTTTTCAAGTTCAAAATGACTGAATATTGCAGAAATTCTCATTTTCAACAAATAATATACCATTGTTGCTCGATTGTCAGTGGTCTGGTTATGCTTAATGATCGTTCGCCAGTACGAGTGATCTATCAAAGCATTACTAAATGTTGCCATTATAACGGGACGTGCCTGATAGGAAACCCGTAAAATGCACCGTTCTACGCACATACTCAATGCTAACAAGACAAACGTATTCGTCCCATTTTCACTCACAATCATTCTACGAACCTCGGAAAACGCACAAGTGGGGTTAGGGGAGTGTTTTTTTCAGGCTTCAAATCCTTCTTCGTTATCATATTCAGAGYGTTTGACTTCAACTGTCAAAGTTGACAGTCAGACTTGTATTTCAATAAYACATTTTCTTTTTATTGATATGGATTTTTTCATAATTAAAAATATCCCCAAACTAGAGCTTTTTTAATTTACCAACTTTACGTGTTACTGAAGGCTATTTGTACCCGGGTTAACAAAACTTATTTCTGTTCTGAAATCTCTSTGAGTTCACTGTAAAATCGACTTTAGCACCTAGCTCCCGTTGATTYTATAATTTTCTTAATTGTGAGTACACAATGCCCTGATCCCGAAAATAAACCACTTTAATTTTATACCATTTTTTTGGCTTATTCGAGGTATATCATCAGATGATTGTTCTTAACAGACTTGCACAGTAAGCCCTCGTCATTAATGATGTATTTCGCAGCGTTTTTCTGTTCTTCACCGTCTTCGAAAGGATTGAAAAACTCAATAATACCGTAATGAAAATACAGCAGTGAAGACGGGGAGTAAGTCAAAAAGCTTGAGCAAGATACAATCATTTTAGTCAAAAAGGTACTGTAACTTACGGAAAAAAATGTCAACTATGGTTGAAAGTCTGACACGGTATGATTCCAAATGATAGATTGACTATTAAGCCTTGCAGTGGGAACAGATTCGTTAAACAATCATTATTTTGTACTAAAACAAGATTGAGATGTTATCTCCGCTTTACTCAACGGGAAGCATCTTGCGAAACGTCCTTCATCCATTCACCCACGTATTGTTCATTCATTCATTCATTCATTCATTCATTAAGCCATTCTTTTACCCATGATTCAAAGTGAAATAGGGGACTATTATTACGTGAGAATTTAAAACAATAAACAAAGCCTTCGCTGTATCAATCAACAGCACTCTCGGATCAATAGCTATTTCTATGCCCAATAAATGTAATTACCAATACGACCGCCATCTTGAATTCTGAATAAATGCCACCAAAAAAATGACGCTTCTCTACTGAAAAATTCGTACTTCAAAATGTGAATTGTTTCAAAACTTCTTCCAAATAGTTATGTTTTTCCAATGACATTTCTTAGAAATCTCAATGTTGTACGGTCTTGAATTTCTTGTTTAGTGTTTCTGAGTATCCCATTCCTTACTGAAAATTGATACTCGAAACAAAAGGATTCAAGATGCTTATAACAGGGTCTGAAAATACATACTTCACGTATTCGTTAAATAATTTTTCGATTTTATATTTCAAAAATAAGTTCACATTTTGTCTAATAAAGAATCTAAAATTATACGACTCGATATACAAGAATAACTACGTACATTTAATAACTGATGAATAATTAATATGATAACGTGTCGATTTATAGATTGTTCATGCCAGACACATACTCACYGCGGAAGTAAACGCGACTAAACTCAGTTAAATGAATGAATAATCCGGGTTAGAATTTCACAAAATCTTAATTCAATTTAGCAATAAAGCGGAATAGAGTGTGTTGTTTGGTACAGAAATAAAGTCGAGGAGGATGCTTCATACTACACTACTGAGAGTCTTGTAAAAAGAATAGAATAGAATAGAAACCTTTATTTATTATAAGGCTCAGGGTAACCCTTTCAGAGCCCCGAGGGGCAATGATATCAATAAGGGCCCTGAGCACACTCTTAATACAAATACTTATCTAAGATAAAAAGGATAAAAATATGAAAAAGCTATTTACAATTTAGATACTATTTATATTAATTACAAGAAGAGAGAGAGACAAAAAAGGGATATAAATATTTAAATACATATAATTCATGAAAGAATATGGGAAAAAAAAATCTATACTATATATTTGAATGAATAAAAATTCTTTAACTATTTTGCAAGGTATTAAAAATCTTGCAGCCKTGGTAGTAAAAAGAACGCTTGGCGAACTCAAAAATACAGAAAGCTTACAGATTGCTTGGAGAGCGTACGATGAAATAGATTCAACAGTCTAATAAAGTACGATCATAACAGATAGCAAATACGAACTATATAATACACCATAAGCAAGACTCATGCATTCATAACGAATAGCATTACATTAATATGATAGATTAATAGTACCTATTGGAAGATTGCAATACATATTGTGTATTCTGATTGGCACTGAACAGGTGCCTATGTTGCGATAYCTTTTTATCAATTCTTCGTTTAAATGCGAAACATACGCAGCTAATGGATATAAATTATTAGATTATATAAATTTTAAATAATATTATTATYAGATAAAGTAAGYTTATACAGTCAAYTCTCGCTATTACGGACACCCYCGGGACCTTAATTTAGTGTCSGMAGTAGCGAGAGTCCGTARTAACGAGAGTTACTTTCAGTCATTTCTTTGTATTTTTCGCCGTGGATTCAGTAYTTTACTGTMCGCAATATSKAGGTGTCCGTTGTAGCGGGGTGTCYGTAAGGCGAGAGYTGACTGTAGTGAGCATTGGTTGGTTCAGTATGGCGGTCGTGTTGATACTTAATAGTCAACCGCCTGAATCAAATCGACATCTGTCAGTGGGTGACTTATTGTCAGYCAAGCAGCTGTGTTGATATTATATAAATTATGTTTGCTGAATTTACATTAGCACTGTTTAAGACTAACCTTTAATATCATAACTAAAACCACAYTATGTTTTAAGAAAGCGTGCAAGTACGTCTCTAGCTTTTCTTTGGTGAAAATTATTATATTATAATATAACGAAAAAGTCATTAAAAATTCACAGCATACATTGATTTATTTGTCTATTTCAATCTTACCTATTTATTTAAATAGAAATTAACACATTTTCTTAAAGAACGTCCCGATCAATTATTCTCGAAGCTTATTGAAATGCATGACATGATGACATGTTCTAATGTATCTGAATGCAATTCGGCCATTTGAGATAAATGTGTTGACAGAAATAGAAAATAAAGATGAATTTATGAAATAATGAGAACTGACTACTGAGAAAAATAGAAGTAGAATAGGAGGGAGGGAAAAGGGAGAAAGGAAGGAAGGAAGGAAGGAAGGAAGGGAGAAAAAAAAACGTGAAGAAAAAAGGATGGAAGCACAAGGAAGCACAAAGGTACACTTAGAATCAGAAATCTGTGATAGGTCTCTAACAATAAGGTATTTTAGCATTATATTTTCTTATTATATGATTCACATTCACTAAAAAGACGTTGAAAACTAAAACAGCTTGTCTGAACAAACGAGACGAATAAATTCACAATTAATGCATGAATTTAGCCACAGGGCTGCAAACCATCTGTCCTTCGAACAAGCTTATCATCTTAATAGTACCTTTGTTACGGCCACCTGGATTGTTTAAGAAAGTTAAATAGAAGATAATATTGGATTTTAATTGAAAAAAATATATAAACTGAGTTTGACTTATAACTTTAGTTAAGGTTATAAAATTTGAAAAATTGTCATAAATGTTGCAAAATAGGCATTTTTATCAACTATTTCGTTGTTGCTTATGTTAATTACAATGGATATGTTAACGAATGTTACTAGTCATTCAAATAACTAAAATCTTGCACCTGGTTTCTATTAAAATACAAAAAAATATAGATTTTTTATTCTCGTATTAGTTTTCACAAGGCTGAAAGAAGAAATTGGAGTTGACTACAAAGCCTAGCTTTCTTTCACTGCACAGTACCGTTTAATGGTTCCTCTCTCAGAAAGAGATCTTCAAGATAAATACAAAAAAAACCTGTTTTTTTGCAATACGAATTACCTAAAACGCATGTACAAAACATAGCTAAAAAGCTCTTTAAAGATATATATATTTAAGTATTTCAAATARAGGACCACTAGACACAGTATCTATTTGCCCTGATACACGGCAGTGTTGTACTAATTATTTCACCTTAAAGCGAGAAGAATTCCCATTATGTAAATATACGATGATTATACAATACCAAAGACTGCTTTAGATATAATTAAATCTTTTTGATATTTGTATATCAAAGARGACAAATAATTTCATTAAATGAATTCCTTTTTACGCTGAACAAGTGCCGTATTTAAAAACCGATTAAAAAKTCTAGAAATTGGAAATTTTTAAATGATATTTTCTGAGTTCAGTGTAGAGAATGAGATCTTAATCCCCGCTGTACACATTCATTAAAAGCAACTCAAAARCGTCTTTATCACAGTTTTGATTCTCATCATTATTCCATAGGCTGTGACCTTAAAAACCGTACATAAAGTTGTTCTTCATAAGAAGCGCCTGCCGCATATTGGCCTGCCTTTTGTTAAAATACCACAAAGTATTCAACAAAGCGTTTATTTCTAAAATTTATGCTTCATAGAGTTGCTGAATATCTACAATTTTGATATCGTATCTTATTATTGCATGCAGCAGTGTGGTTCTTTCTCTTGTAAAATTGTTCAGGACTTTTTCTCGCCCATATTGATTTTTAAAAAATCAAGAGTATACGTCTGCAACGTTGATTTACTCGAATCACAGCAAACTAATTATTACTAAAAGTGTTTTTAATATACAACTTTCTATATTTTATTAGATTAAAGAGAACGATTTGTTTCGCCGCCGCATTAGWTCTCGAGTAGATATTCGTTCCTGTTGTTAGTTTTAGACTCAAGAACAAATATGGCGGCCTTGTCCATCCAAAAATCAAAAAATTATCACTGCCACTGTCTCTCAATGACGAACCGCCAATGATCGTGTGAAGAAATATCGTACATAAAGGTTTTGCAACAKAATTGAATTCATCTATATAAAAGATCATTATTTTTTTGGTTGATTTATTAACTTTTTTTAATAAAACTCGCAGAATTGTTGTTTACTTTAAATCGTTTGGGTAGTTTAACACTTAACTAATAATTATCGTTCCGACTTTATTGTTTATTTTATGCGCTTTTTTCATAAAATTATGCGTGAATTAAACTTCTTTCATGATAAAATAATAGATAAATCATYTATAACTCTTRTTTGTCCAGGTTTCAAGCGAAAGGAAGGCGGAGGGTGCTCAGCGCAGGAAAAGAAACAGCAACAGCTGTCATTCACTATAACATGGTAAGTTGGGCTTCCTKTGGTATTTACAGGCCGTGGTCCAGTCTTTTCTGGTCAGACTTAGTCCTTTACTGATTTCAATTAATGACTGACACTTGTCAGCCAAAAATACTTGATTATCTTGAATCAAAGGGCTTTTGAAAACTCCTAAGCTCCGATATAAGCTCCGAGAAGTATATTTTTTGTTTTGTATAACAAGGTGATTTCATGAATGTTATGTGTTTTTAGGTTGGGTGAGAACTATGAACTAAAAGAGGGAATGTGTCTTCCGCGATGTGTGATGTACACTCACTACTTGGATTTCTGTAAAAAGAACAAACTATGTCCATCTGGACCGGCAACATTTGGAAAGGTAAACACATTACCCAGCATTCTTTTAGGGATGAGGGAAGAGAGGAGTGACATCTAATTAACTCGTGGATTGAKGCATACAAGGGCAATGAATCCACGACTTATTACATCGATTTTGTTTCATGGGATGAGGGAAGAGACGAGTGACATCTAATTAACTCGTGGATTGACAATGACAATGACAATGAATCCACGATTTATTATATCGATTTTGTTTCAGGTGATACGACAAAAGTTTCCCAAACTAACCACAAGAAGGCTGGGAACTCGTGGCCAATCAAAGTGAGTGAAAAAAAATACCATCACCACCCCTGACGGRAAAAATTTATATAGTGTTATTTATTYATTTATTTTTTACTTTTTTGTTGTAGATATCATTATTATGGAATACGAGTCAAGGAAACCTCACAATATTTCCATGCTGGGTACTCGAAACAAGGTCTATCAAGGTAGGGTGGCTGTTCAARGGAGGTACAGAGKTTTCTTGGTGGGGTGGGGTGGGGGCTATTTTGTGCTGGCTGAGATCAAAATACCAAGAGACAGTAGAATGTATCAATGTCAAATAGCTATTCGTCTCGATCATTAAATTTTACAACGTTAAAAAATCTTTTTTGTGTGTTCAGATTCTCAACGATGAAGGTGAAAGGCGAGGTAAACAACATTTAAACTATTGACCAACTCATATAAATGTCTGCATATAGTGATTTTCTGATATTGAGTTAATAACAGAAATATCTCAAATATGAATAAATGTGAAGACTAACTCTGACATGTTTTGTTTTGATTTTTAGGGAGGAACCAAGAAGTTTTCTCTCAACACAAAAGCGCGTACTCTCCTACCTGATTTTCCTAACGCTAAACGACTTAACCTGCCCAAAGGGGTTTCACAACAGAAGGTAAGAGGCTTCTGACTACACCTGATATATTTCTAAATAGACAGTTACTTCAAAAAGGTTGCCGGAGAAGATATTCGCATGGGTATTAAATTAAATCCAGCAATTTGTTGATTTCCAAAATGGTCTAAGAAAGTGACAACGACAATGTGGATAATTTGAATGAAAACATTTGGTCAATATGAAGAGAGAACAATCAATTATTTCAAATGAAAAAAGAATCAGCATTGAAGAAGCGAGAAAAGTAGTTTCGAATTCTTTAGCTGATCGCAAAAGGTCTTCACGCACTATCTGCATCTACGGACACACCTCTTTTTTGCCAGAGGCTTTGATAGGTGGTCATGGGTACCCTGTGGACCCCAGTATACACACCCTTGTGTTAATGATGATGATGGAGAGGGTTATAATGACAATGATAATGATTTCAGGTCGAGACATTTATCATGATGTACAGAACTCACTGTCAAAGACTYCTTGATACAGTTATCAGCGCCAACTTTGATGGGGTAAGATATATCTGCAAAAACACGATCAATATCAGTCTTTAATGATGATGATTATTAGTCTTTAATAATKATTATCATCACTAGTCATTAATGATAATCATTTTTTTCATTCAGATCAATACTTTTATCTTACACTTTTGGCAAGGCATGCCGGGTCACATGATCACAGTGCTACAGAATAATGTAGTGGTAGATGTTATTGCTATCTGTGATTCTATATTGTACAAGGTATGACAATAACGAATGGATGAACGAATGAAAGATGAATGAATGGATGGGATAAGAACTAGCAGTTTGGAAGCGACTAGAGCGCAAACACTAAAACCAWSAAAAAAGTTAGCMATCAATTTGTGCTAAATTRCACTGAATTGTGCGAATTCCGCTGTTTTCTATTTTCTAATCTACACTATATTGCGCTATGTAGAAGTATTTGGTTAGTACTTTTCACGCCTTTAGTATTTGCACTCTATACCAGCGAACTAATTAATCAGAACGCTAAATTGCATTTCACGGGTTTGTGGCAATCTCTTTCTCTTCGTTAACTAGATTCAAATACATCTTTTTTTATTTTCATAGGTGCTGATAGACGTACTWATACCATCAACAATACAAGATCTACCAGACAGGTTTGTAAAGAACCTCCTCCGCTTTCTCCTTGGCTTTGGACTCCCTGTGTTAAGAATAAGGTTGCGGGGGAGGTCAAGCCCTTTTGTTCCAGTCCAACCTCGTTCCCAGGTCCTGTAGAGAAGTCCTGGGGACGAGTTTAGTTCCAGTCGTCCCTCCTTAACCCACAGGAATCCCAAAAGCCAAAGAAAGCAGAAAACTAAAGACTATATTTAGCAATAATTCACAAAGTCATTGTAAGGACAAGTGTAATTGAAGTGCCCTTGTCTCAAGACTTTATTTACGTTTTAGTCTYAGAGAAGAAATTCGAGAGTTTGCCAATAACCTTCAAGTTTGGTTACGAGAATCATTAGCAGAAGTACCAGCTGCCGTTAGAGATGCAAAACTTAAAGGTAAARCATCAAAACTTGTTTGCTTTTGCGCCACTGCAACATAGATAGAAGCAGAATAAGGGGCATAGTCTCCTTCAGTGTTTATATTTCGGTTTAATCTCAAAACATTGCCAATAGTCTTCTTCGTGGTTCCCTGCGCCATCTTGAAAGGTAGCCATGCCTTTACATCAAAGCGAGACAACCGTTGAGCTTGCAATGATAGAAACCTTCTATCACACCTACAACAATTCACAGGTTTCTATCATTGCACGCTCAACGGTTGACTCGCTTTGATGTAAAGGCACGGCTACCTTTCAAGATGGCACAGGGAACCGTGAAGGAGACTATTTTGTATATGTCTGAATCAGAAAGCATAAACGTTAAAATGTTTCCGTCTATGCTTATGTTGAAAAATTATGCAACATGTTTATGTCAAGTATCAACCAGGTTCTGCTTCTGTTTCTGATTGTGTCATAGTGCTACGTTGCTGCATCGTCTATTCATTTAATCATTTCCATTTATTTTTTTCAGTGGCAGAGAAATTCAGCAGTGCTTTAAAAAGACARGTGTCATTYGTYCACTTGGCACAGACKGCTCGCTCTGTGTTGCTTAGTTACGACTCCGTTTCCCGGATGATCGGTGATCTGCGCAAAATCGACTTCAATCTCATTCTCAGCAAGGCCATGTTTTTAATGGCAAGCAATGATATACCCTCTAAGACAAAAGCCTGTGAGTATGCCTCCTAGCAGGTTATTTATTGTGCTAAAAATAAATGGAAGAATAGGAAGTAGGAAGGCACTGACCCAATCAGTCGATAAATCTTAAATCAATTTTAAAATATTTCTTCTTAGTTGTTCATGAGTTTGATGGTCTTCTCAGCAAGCAGGCACCATTAGAGGCATATACTGAGTGGTTGGATACTGTTGTCGACCGATGTGTGTTAAAGGTTAGCCTTGTGTAGAGAAAATCAAATAATGCGTTTGTCCGGCGCGCGCGCTTCAAGAGTTTTTCAGTTCCCCGCATTTTACTTGGTCCCTCAACGTTTTTGTTAACCTGCGATCTTTTCGATGTTTCTGGCAATTTCAAAGCAATTTTCAGACTTTATTTTTCACTTTATGCAGCGAAGACTCATTTCATTTTTTTAAGAAATGACYGAAGAAATAATTCCGCATTGTTTTATTTTGTAGGACATCACCGACGAAGACGACAAGATTTTTGATAAAAAAGCYACCAAGTTTCTTGGTTTATGGTCATTTATCACTTCAAATCTTCTCGAAGACCTCACTTTACGAAGCGCGCCAAGTTTTGGTAAGTGTCTTATTCGGTGTATCATTAACGCCAGAGGCATGTTCCTGACCCTAGTTGCTGTTTGTTTTTTTTTCTAGGTGTTTTTCATCTTATCCACGCGACATTTCAAGAATACATCCTTCTTATCGTCGAGAATCAGAAGATGCAAGTGTCTGATAAACAGCTTCAAAAGGCTTTAGAGGAACATGTCAAAGACGGTAATATGGATACTATTATCATTAATACCATGTCATTTATCTCAACTTTATTAATAAAAACATCATGTTGACCGGGTACTCCACAAATATGAATTCATTTCACTTATAAGTCAATATATATTCTGACTGACAAGATGGCCGACCTAACACACACCTCGTAGTTCCCATGATCCTCTGCGTGGCACAGGGATCCCACGGGCTCACAAAGATATTRATTATAATTSTTATAATTATTTCCCAGGATACATTGAGGAGAGCATTGAACACTGGGTAGATGTTGACAGCGCAGAGCCTAATAAAAGACTGGAAGACCACGTGATCAATGACGMAATGACYCCAGATAAAACTGGAAACGACTCCAACAACAACAAAGCGAGCAGAATTCTTCACAAAACTCCATCAAAAAGAGTAAAGACCACTAAAKCACAATCTAATATCAAACCGGTCCACCGTCCAGCTATCGTCAGTAATCCGCAAAATCCAGAGTCCATGCGCCAGTCTGTCATTTCATCACAYACCATGTCTAACATAGATACAACTACCCAACATCCTCTGCAAACTTCGGTTGCCAACGTTACAAGGAACGGCATGCAACAGTACATGTACCCAGACGATATATCCCGTAATGCACCGCCGACTGAGTTGTCCGGGTTCCATAGCCAGGATTTTATAAATGCTTTCGATAAAAGCTTTTTTAACCCCGTCACCGTACCAAATACGGAATATCTAGGGTCACCATGGATACCTGATAACCAATCRCTGACCGTGCTTAATAAYGTCACCTACGATCAAGCGACTACTAATGGAAATCTAGAATTGGGATTCCACAGGAATGTGGACTATGGAACATACAACTATAMCAGTGACATGGCTATCACTAACAATGCGATCCATCCTTATGACATCCAGACTCCATTAAACCACCGATCCGATATTTCCTATAACCAACAAGTTAAGGATATGGATTATTCGAACTATTCCAATGCAATATCAAGGTATAATAGCTTRTATTACGATAATATGCGAACTAATACACCAACTGTCACATCCGATATCTTAAATTATGGCATGGGACCAAATAACGGTGCACCAATGGACATCGATGGAATGTTGGCCCATGAGGCACAAATAAGCAGGTTGGGYATTGGAGCTGTACAATAAACATRRTTCATCYAATGGGCTTCCTGTGTTGATTTGARGAAATGTTATGTTGGGATGCCTGTGYCAATGCAAAAAATGAAACACTCAGATACGTAAAAAAGCAATGGAATCAGYCATCGGRCTTCCTGTGGCRRCGTTGTGGTCGCAAAAATACAGTGCTGGGCGACATATGAAATGTTGAACTTCCTCGAAACGGAGTTTATACAGGACATGATATATTTGTCAAGGTTGGGCTGCMTGTCTATTGGTCGGGCTTCCTGTGSTAACATTATTTTTYGATTTCRTTGAAAACAAATACAATTATAAGAATATCTTAACCGAAGATATTCTGCAATTTAGTTATCCAAATTTATTAGAGTAAAATATCCAAAAAGTTCTCTTTCATTTAATCATTTTATTTTATAAAATTTTACACTAATTTCTTTGCTTTKCTGAGCCAAAAGTAAAATATGACACCCAATAAAACTGAATATTACGAAAAAAAAATCAATGAAAGTTCCAGCTTGTTTCCCATAATAGAAAATTTAAAAATGTAGAACATTTACTTGAAACATAAACTTCGTGTGTTGTTCGGAGAGACGAAAACCATCCGAAGACTACATACACTTTTTCCGACTTTCTCCGAGAAATAAACGATAAACTTGTTTGATATCACATTGMAAATAATTTTTGCATCATTAGAAACATGAAAAGCAATTTATGCTTTGTTTTCTCTTAGTTTTAATAAAAGTTGTGCTAAGTTAGACATATATGCTYAATACAAATAAATGATCAGTTTGTGAAACTGTTTCGTGTCATTTTGATCAATTAATGGCTAAATAACAAAAACCTTTACTCGTTTTTAAGCATTTATTACGACTTCCAAAATAAGTTCTTCGGGCTACCTGTAGTGAAGATATCTGTCAACACAGGAATCCCAAAGATACGTAACCGAWTAAGAAGAAATATATTGACTCCTAAAAGTCTGTAGCACTTACGTAATCGCAAAACGAAAAAGACTTAGTCTAACAAGGGCGTAGCGTGGTCTTCTTGACAAGTACACGCGATTTCTTACGTATGATTCTAAAAACTCTGAGTTCTTGAGACGAAATTATGATGTTTGGATCTCCACAACGACGCATATTCGTACGCTACACCCCGGCATAAAACGACTAAAAATATCAAGAATGAGACGTTTACGTAACGTCTGCAGTGATCAGTATGATGCGTACATAAGTACGTTTGTACGCAGCACCAAGTCTAAAACGATTAAAAATATCAAGAATGCGACGTTTACGTAGCGTCTGCAGGCATGAGTATGATGCGTAGAGACGTACGTTTGTACGCAGCCCCCAGGCATAAAACGACTTAAAAATATCAAGAATGCGACGTTTACGTAACGGCTTACGACATGATTGTGATGCGTACATAATGAAATCGCAAAGACAAATATACAAGAACAACTCAAGACTTGATAGCGTTTGCATTGCGTAATCATAGCCAACTGAGTTCAATATAACCGTTGTGACACGCCCGTAAAACTAACAGAGATACCATTAAAATCAGTTTAAATTCCCGTTCCTTGTGGCATTTCCACCTGGTAACAGCGGCGAAGATGAAGAATGATTCTCCATATGGATTCTCATTCATTAAAAAATCTGTTCGTTATGTTTATCTTTGCGCGCAAACCCGGACAAAAGGTTGAATCCGTTGTGGACATAACTTTGCATATGTATCGAGAAWAGAGGCTTTGTTCTACAATTCCTAMGCAATTTTAGGCAAATAATCGGCTGTCAAAGAAAACTACTAACTTCACGTTGCACAACAGCACCTGTATTTACGGTTAATCCAACATAAGAGAGTTCGATATTAGTAATAATTRCATACAAAGCAAGATAAATGCTAATATCGAATTGGACTTGAAGAATAAGAAGAGAAATTTAGCTATGATAATARCRTTGCCAGGGTGAAATGTTTACCGAGGCAAAAAATGCACGAGTTCAACATATTGCACCYGTGTAAAATRTCCTTTAAATGAAGGCAGTAGTTCTAATGTGTGAAATGCGGGTAGTTATTATAGCTAGTATTGGCCTKGTTCATTCTTGCACTATTACCTAAATACTTATGTAAAAGATTCGGCATAGTGATGATAATTGACTAAACTAATTCTAAATTTTGTCTAACTGTTGAYGACACCACAGAACCAAATTGCAACCTAGAAATATATAAACTGAATAAATATAAACTGAATAAAGAACCAGGCGAGTCATTAAACTTRGATAACGATATTGTACATTTAMTTTTTTTCACAAAAAACTGCCGACATTGAAATTAGTTTTTACACGTCAGTTGAATTCACGGCGAAATCAGTCCTTCGTCATGGAGACTTATGAATGATATTCAACAAAAACTTAAACTTTATTCCATTTAATATTCTCTTTTCTCAAGTAATTCTTTCACATTTCGCCAACACCAATTCAGTTAGTTTGCTGTTTTGTTTTTAGTATTCAGATACAGTTTTTTTCATTCAGACAATTAGCTTGGAAGACATTCAAAATTGTTGAAAGTAGCCACCCGAATATATAAAGCTAGAATTCACAATGCATCATTCAAGGTATACTGGAAACATCACAATTTATTTTCGAGATTGTTCTTTCTGTGCAATAGCTTTAATATCACAATTATTGCGTCGTATTCATACTAGATACAAGGATTGTACTGTGAAAAGGAAAATATGGTCAAATCGGTGTTTATTTGGCCATTCAAATGAGAGAAATGGAAGTGGGAATTAAAGCAAAAAATAAATAAAAATGAGAAATTTATTTTGGTGATAAATCGAATAGTCCRCCATCTTGATTTCTTTCTTCTACGTAGCATGCTTTCAAGGTTTTGTCTTATTTAATTTTGTACTATTAAATGTAAAGAACGCCGAGTATTTTGGTAAATTATGAAGTCTTAAAGGCAAGAAGCAATACGTACAGATGATGTAGTTTTTCATACGTCCCCTTAACAATAATTCTTATTTTTTTTCTTCTCGAAAATTATAATCAATAAAGTAGCATGTATTTGTACTCGAGCGTATATTATAATGTATTGTTTCTAGCTTTAAATGTTAAGTCTTTGCTGGTTTTTGTCATGTTTTTCAGCAGTCCTTATAGTACAAGTTAGCATTGATATGGTAAACTCCATAGTTGGAATACAACGATGACCTGACGTACAACATTTTAAATTAAAAATATTTTGCATACAATAAAACAGCACAYTTGTGCAGCAAGTTTTTAAAAGATTTGGTAAGCAAACGTAGTTTTGATCATGGAGTTCTTCAAAAAAAATAATATTTACTTTTAATGGAAAAAGCACCGTGTTTGCAATGAATGTAGCACCAGAAGACCTCGTAAAATATTCATGTACTSGACCCTTTTGCAGCCCATCGTTTCAAGTATTTCTATTATAACTTGTTATTTAGAAGTGTTTTGGTCGAGTACTTAATGACAAATTTGGCAGAGTTTCAAAGAAATCTGTTGTAGCATTTTTATGGCATAAATTTGCCTAGTTTTGTAAATAAACTAACCTATTGCCCTAGCTTTAAAATTACTCTAAGTCGGTCGTTATCTTTATATATTTTATTCTTAAAATGTTTAGGAAAAATTAGTGGTTCTTATTTAATTGAGTCAATGTTTTTGCAACAGTTCAGGTTTATGCACCAATTTTGTCAGCTTGTTTTTCCATTATTTACTGACCTATACTATAACTTAACGTAAACTATAACGTTTTTCTCAAGTAAATAGCTGTATTCATTTTCTTCTGAAACAATTATAGCCCAAACAGTTTTCATCTTGGTCGAGTTGTATTGCCTTGAATAGTCGCGTCATCGTTTATTGAAACCATTCTCTCTTGACTCGCGATTTTTAAGCTGTTTTCAATGCATAAACGAACTATTCTTTGATGAATAAGCTGAATAAAAATRATTCTCAGCACTCAAACGACTAAGAAATCATCTTTTGGTTGTGTTCAATAGTTTAATTCAACTACTTCCAAGTACTTTGAAATCGTGATACTATAACCAGCCATCTTTAACTATGGCGGCCATTCTCTGTAAAGATGCGGCGTTGGAGATTCATTTATAAACGACAAGCTTCTCGATTAGTTATCTTTACAAGTTTTCATAGTTTTCTTTTATACSTATTTGCACTGTTCATTTTTATTTTTGGAAGAACATTAATTCTTATTACATAAGTTTAAAATTTAACGCGCGCGCAATCACAACGCTGGACTTTTCTACTGGAAATGAAATAATATTTAACAAAACATAATCAAAATACAACAAGATAGCTTTGTTTTTATCATATTCTTTTAGAAATAAGGCGCAATTTGCAGTGCACAATTGTGTCTTTAATGTTGCTCAAGTAAGCATCATGCTTAAGGGAGGATTTATGATTGCGTTGTGGACAACAACGAGAAAACTTCATAACAAGGACATATTCCTCGACAATGTCTTCTTAAAAGCAATTCAGAATCGTTTTAGATTGAACTATTTAACAAGCCCTTTGCTTTAAAGTGATTCGTCCTTAATCTACTGGTACTTTGGGAACATGGCCGATTGACACTGCAAAAGTATTCTTCTGTTGTTAATAACCTCTTATCTTTGTCATTTTAGGTCTTTCTTCAAACCATACCTTAATTTTAACTACTGCATGATTTCCATAAGTTTATTTCAAGTTATTCAACATTTATGTGCATTTTATACCATTTCTATATTAKCAAGTTTGACTCAAAGTTCGATAGAATTTCCATCAACTTGGGATAATGTACCTTTTACAATTTTTCATGACAAGTCATAAACAGTTCAACAAAAGAAGGTTTAATAAAATCTTACAAATTCGACAATCGTTTTCATATTTGTATTCTATTATTTTGCTGTTGTTGCAAACTTTGTTCCTTGGAGACAAAGCAAACATTAATACAGTTTAAATCCATAAAAGAGAATCCAGAAAGAATCAACAATGACAATATTAGAGATATGAGCTAAACCTCCCGCACGACGGAAATTATGCCCGTTTTTCAGACATTTCTCGTTACAATTTCTCTTACTAGAAAGGATTAAATACTGTAGATATTTCTCTTATAGGGATGTCCTCACAATAAGTGCATAGCCAATGCAATTCATAGCTTATTGTGTAGACTGTTTCTGTAGAGGCCCGTTCACACTTGCGATTTTTGCAGCGGGATAATCGCCACTTTGCTATCGCGTAACTGAAATCGGGCGGTGTTGCAGCGATGGGAAATCGCCGCGAAGTCGCACACTATTTTTCAAGCATGTTTGAAACACAGGCGATGGACGCGCGACAATCGCCGCGAGAATCGTTCTGCAAAAATCGCAAGTGAAAACGGGCCTTTCAAGCTCCTTGTAAATGATACAGTTTGTTAAAAAACCTTTAAATTGTATCAAGTTTTATTCSCATAACTTTAAACTATAGTCTGCGCTTTTGTGAGTAGCTTCAGCCGTAATTCAATTACTTAAAAGTTTTCTCCTTGTAGAAGTTTTGAAGTTCTTCTTCGAAAACCTTAGCTGACAGACGATCTCATCTTTGAAACTGTTTTGTAATAGCTCATGTTTTAGCTTCTCAAAAACGGCGTTTGTAAGTACTACAACAATTCAATATCGACAAAACTTAGCTTAAACTATCGACTAACCCGTGTCTCGTTGCCACTTTGTAAAAAAACCCACTTGTAAATCGTTTGGCGAGAGTAAAAACGACTTAATTCTCATTAACTTCTTTGGCTACCTTTCAAACCCACTTGTGAGTTAAAAAGATTAATTTTTAGCGCGCGGTTTGTGCGATGATGTCATGTTCATCGTGTGGCAGGTTTTATAATGTTGAATTAAACCAAGCGAACAAAGTTACAATTGTATTTATTGGCCTTCAGGTTGTTACATTGTTCGAATGACAATTTTTAGTTAGACTAACGGCTTTTTTTGTAGAGTGAACGAATCAACTTGTGCGATAACCTTGGCGTTAGRTTCCTAGGTTTGACGGTGTATTTACAACATTTCGTGCTTACCCTATTACGTATAAGTACTGTTACATCTGTGCTAGTGAATACATGTCCATTATAGAAAGAAAAGATAAATTGTGTATCAAGATATCCACTACAATTGATTCAATTCCCTCTAATTGAGGTGCCTTAATTCTATCGTTGATATCTTCAAAGAATGTCTAGAAAAGAACCTTTATTCTTCATAATCCAATGGTTGTTCATCGAGTGCTTCCTGGGTACTGGCTCGCGTACAGTGCTGACTTGCAATAAGGGTTKGGAAGAGAATACATTGGCGGTTTCTCAACATTTCTTTCCACGACGCTACTTTGCTGGTAGCTAGGGCTAGGTGGCATGAGRGCCAGTGACCTATGGTAGTCAGGGAGACTCTGTGATGGTAAGGAGAAGCTTCCAGGTAGGTATGTAGATCTCTTACTCATTGATGCTGTAGACACTGGAGGTGAACCGATCGGCATGATGAAAGTATCAGTGTAAGGCGGTGGTATATGAGGGCTAAGGTAGTGATGCATCGGTATGGAATARCCTGGTGTTATTGCCTCTGTGGTTCCATACCCAAACGTTGAGTAAGGCTCTTTGGCTCTTGAAGACTTTGTTTTTCTTCTCCTTGGTTTGTACGAGTAGTCTGGGTACTTTTGGTTGTGCACAGACCGTAGATGCTTAGCCTCCATCACATAGGGCCTCTTYTCTTCCTCACTSAGACGACTCCACTCGGCGCCAAGGAGTTTACTTATCTCACAATTTAGCATGTTGGGGTACTTGAGAGCAAGCTTACGTCTTTCTGTTCTAGACCACACCATGAAAGCATTCATGGGTCTTTTAATGTGCTGGTCGTCCGGTTCAGCCATTACGATAACTTTTAGCTCCACTTGGGATTATTTGTTGAAATTCTGTTAACTGTGACAAGAGGCAAGCCCTTCGCTGTCTCTAGCACTTTTGATACAGAGAGTTGAATGTGAATWCAAGGAACTATGCAAGAAGATGAATAGACGTGTTCTCAAGCTTGCAAACGGCTAACACTGATATAGCTGAATGCTGCTTGTCTTATAACCAACCACCAACAATACACCATGCTCATGAATTATTTATAAGCAATTCAAGTCCCGTATGACAGATCGATTGTGATGTGAGGGCGATTGAAACCCAGCTGTAATGTTATAACACAAAGACTTTGACTTTAACCGAACACATTACCAGAGAGGAAAGCCAAGTGAACCTGACCTAATTGCTTTAGTTAGGCCATCACTGTTTTGTGGTTCTTTGTGTTGTGCAATTGTTTTCTTGTTCATTTTGTTAGTGTCTTGTTTGTAGTATCGTTTAGATTAAGCCATTATGTATCGTTTAGGATGGCCTTTTGACTAAAACAACTCAGTCTAGCTCACTCAAGTGGTAAAACTTTTCAAGAGTTTTAATACTTTTAATCAATCCATGTGTTGAATTAATACAAGGAATTTCCCTCGTGTATGTGTGTATATATAAAAAAACAATCCTACAAAATAGTTTTTATGCTCAATAAGTGTTTACAAAATAAATGCGAGCAATGGCCGTGACAAACAAAAGTAAACACGCCTTTTGTAGAAAATAATTCTGCAACCAGAAACAGCAAGAAAAGCATTTTGTTTAATAAGCTGCATRCGGGACAAGGTCGAAGCATTCGCTAACTACCGATGTTTGCCATCCCTAAGATTAATCTCCCATTCAATTCGCTCGTCAAAAGACAGAAATTCTCACTGAATTGAACGTAAAGCAAATAGCAATAACGCTTTTCCTTGGTATTTGCGAAAAGATGTTTGACAATGCAAAGTATTCAATATTTTGTATGTCACTTTTTTTAATTCATAGTTTTATAAGTTAAAATACATTTGCTGTATTATCTATAAATGGATAAAATGATTTACATCAAGCCCTTGTATATGCGAAATACAACAGTATTTTAGCGAAAAATGAATAAAGTATTGAACAAAAGTCCTTTATAATGACATTAAACGCAGTATAACGATTGATAAAGCTACTCTATTGAGCGTTATAAAATAACATTAGTGGAGTAACTCAAAATCCATCATAATATGCATTGAAAGTCCTCATACATCATTTTTAACCCCAAATCCTTCACATTTTAAGATATAAATGTTGTGTTTYGCCATACTCTACGCGCTGTAGAGTTTGTTCAAGATGCTAAAGGCTAATTGTGTTAATGATTTTAGGAATTGCTAATAAGATTATTTTATGGTAATCACATTAAACGTGATAATTGAAACACCGCTTTTTGCTACTTTGTCGGAAAAATCTCGCTGCAATGGCAGAAAGAACACTAGTTAATAACAATGTTTTAACAAGATAGCTTTTAATGGACACTAAAGACGATGTAATTGCGATAAAATGTCCTTTTCATTGAAAATTAAATATAGAATTGCTTTGGAGAAAGTATATTTTGTACTTAATATAAACTATAAAAAAACTTCAGACTTTCCAAATACAATAAAAGCCGTTGCATATTAAGAAATCCTAAGATATTGAAAATCTCGTTTTCAGCAAGCAAAATATCATATATATTGATACAGAAATATGTATGAAACACGTGTAAAAAGTTTTTTGAATAGATTGAAATCTAAAGTACAAATGTAAAAGTCCTAAAGTACAAACGAAACATTTTTAAGTCTGTATCAAGCTTGAATATGTCTTTCTGAATGGGGGTTCGAGTCTATAGCTCGACCATGCGCAAATCAGTCATGACGTCACAGGTAGTTGGATCTAAAGGCTGCTCATAGCTTCACGAGGAAAGAAATCTTTTTTCCAGCTTTTCAGAACCTAAATCCTACAAATCTCTCGATAAGATAAATTAACATGAATTAGCTGTCTTGAGTACCATTTTCTCTAGTGTTATTTGACTATTCAACAACACTTTTTGATGATGTTTCTCTGGATAAATATCTTCTTAACCAATCTCTAGGCGAATATTCTGCAAAACCGTCTTTGTTTACGAGAAATCGTGCCATTTCACATTCATAATTGATTAATTATATATTAAAGTATTTAGTTTTTCATCAGGTATCATTGAAACTTGTTTCACTTAACTATTTAGTGAACAAGAACATTCGCTTCTTTGAAGAAGTGTTATGAGAATACATAATGAAAGAGTATCTATCTACCTAAATGAACAGTCGTTTTTGTTAAGTTGAGATAACAGATGTGTTTAAAGATTTAAATCATCAGATTTAATTCAATGGAAAGAGCAAGGAATATACCCCCCACACACTATATACAAAGGCAGCTCGCGACATGTCATGGTTGAACACTGACACTTTACTCCTATGTCAATATTAAAGACCAATTTCCGTCTCATTTGTTCAGTGAAAATTCATTCCCATTTTAAAGCTATTCGGTTAACGTATAATCGATTAATTTCAATCTGTTTTGAGCTGGCTAATACGAGTTTAAATGTCAGTAATGTTGCTGGATTTAATATCGAGTTCATATGATTATTTAGTTTAATTTTATTTTCTCTCAAATGTTAATGTAATAGGAATTTTCAAATATATGTTGCCCGATGGTACTGAAGAAGAGAAAAAAATTATTAGTTATTTATGTATATATATAAAYCGATTCACAACAAGTTCATGTGCGCTCCGTGTCCTGGCTATTTTTTGCGCGACAATTGTTACGCTGAAGAGGAAGCAAGTTTTTACAAGTAAATCAATTGAGTTTGTGCTTCATTGAGCTATAATTCAAGCTGTCTTGATCAGCAAACAAGTTAAAGAAGTACATTTAAAAAGTCTGACTGGATCTTAAAGGGGGTCGTTGTTCAACTTTACATCTGTTTTAGCACTCTGCTTTGCCTGGTACTAGACACTTGACAGAATATGAACAGCCCACGTGTGATTGTACTTCTCTACATAGACACTTCTCTTCCTGTTCTAATCGTCTTAGTTCGCCCGTTTGAAGTAGCGTATTAACAGCTTTAAACTTCACAGACATTGCTTTGTCWTGTAATGTGAAAACATCACTTCCAAGTGTGAATAACAGCTTYATCGTTTAAGGACAATCTTGTCATTTTTTAAAATGGTTTTCAGCGTTGTATTCCACAGCCATGGCGTTGTAATTCATACGAATTGTGAAGACAAACGGTGATTTACAATTAATGAACATCACTATCTCTTTCAACTCTGAATATCACAACAGTTGGATTTTCTAAGTTAGTTGTCAACACTTCCGAGTGTAGCTTTCTTATTCTTCATTATCTTGGCTGCATATCGCTGCACTGAGCGAGTTATTCAAAGTCATTTCTTTGTTTGAGGGTGCTTTTATCATTTTCTAGTCCATGTTTACTGTACCAACACGAAGCAAAAACTCTTCCTTACTGTTCAGACGTGGTCATGTCCTTCTCWGTTARAKAACAAGCAACGTGTTGTAATATCKTCCCACGTGCAGTCTATAGTACTACAGGCTTGACTAAATAGCACTTCCAAGGATTGTACACAACATTGGACAAMAAAGATTGACTGCTGACTGGTAGATTGACTCCTCTAGCTAGCCAAATGTACAGCAGTCCAACTGCACAAGGGATCTAATGCTTTCAATCTAAAGTCCATCGGTTTGGAAACAACAGTGATGTTTGCAATCAATATTAGAATGAAATAATATTTGGCACCGAGATTAAACTACTGATATAAACTGAAGCAGGATCAAGATGCTCTTCTATAAATAGTGTGATGTAATATAATTGTAGTACAGTATTATTTAGATGCAGAGCTGTCGAGAAATAAATAAATAATACCAAGAAATACCATTTATCTTCCAACAATAAAGTTTACATTCYTTTATTTAAAGGGGTGCTTATTTTGTGGGGGGTGGGGTGGGGGAGGTAAAAATTTACCTTTTTAAAGCACAGTAAGATTGTTTGAAATAAATTGAAGTATCGATAGTTTAAAAATCACGCGTTATCATTGCTGTGATAATAGATGTTTATAATAAGTTAGCAAGTGTTTTGAAAAAGTTACGAATCACACCTCTAAGAACAAAGCTCTAAGACCAAACACCGTAACTTATTTTAACAAGTATTGTGTTTTCATCAAAACTTAAGCACGGTTCCTTTGTTTTTCCAAAAAGAGATAGGTCAAAGGGACCAACATAGAAGTCGCTTCATCATGACGTAATTTCTATATTAAGCAACTCTTCATTGACATTGAATTCTTCGTAACAAACCAACTAGCAGTCAAGTACAAAAGCCAGTTTAAAACKTTTAGGTAACATTTCATAAAAGCATCGCTTTTAAGAGAAAAACTGCCACGTTTTGCCGTATTGAAGCAGTTTAGTAGAAATCGTTCCCTTAGCATGACCACGATTTGAAGTGGTCAGCGGTTTGCGTCCTGAATTTATGATTGTTAGAATGCGTAATTCTTTAACAACATAACCTGAATACTTTGATATCGTTTATGAATCGTTAYATAGTCAACTCGAGAAAATGATCTTTAAATAAAGTACAATGTTTTCTCAGTGATCGTTTGCGATTAGTWCAGCGCTGAACTGAATTGCTTTCCAATGAYTCGCGGTAATCTTACTTGAAAATAATCAAAAATGAACACACTCTTGTTTTGATTGTCTTAAGCGATTTTCTAAGTGTTCTAAAGGTTGTTGAAAGTACATTAAAACTSYAGTCAATATCCATATAAYACTCAGAGCCAACGCCTACTTTTCGGCCGAGTACCGAGCCACAATAATTCTTGTCAAGAAAACTACAAACTTGTCATTCAGAAAGATCTTTTCCTTTCTCTTCGTCAACGTATCTTGTCCTGTCGACTTGTGAATACATAGTGTGTGAGTATTTCGGTAGTCAATAATTTATTGGTTCATATATTGATTYATTAAGTGACAGTGTTCACAATCTGGTTCAGATGTATGGAGATTTATTGAATTCTAGTACAAGTTATTGTCGTCCGWGWCAAGACRTAAGCATTTCGGTAGCCCGTCACGGTCTCTTTGTAAGTAACATCTAAACATGTTAAGCAAACATCACACATGCAGCTGGGAGAGAGA